AGCTGATATTAACTTGCACTGACAAGGGCCAGGCTTGCTTTCTAATTACTGAGAGAGTTCAGCTGGTGTCTTGGCTTTCAATTCTGGACATTTATGGTTTGATTTCTTTGTATGTATGGATCACTTGGGTTGTTACCGACATCTGGTGAAAATTTCATGTCATTAGCACCTCTAGTAATATATTTACTGAGAAAAATGGTGACGTGTTCAATACTTATTTTACCCGCTGTACTATGTGTAGTGTAATTAAAATCAGTGTACTATATGAACCCCAATAATTTCTTCAACTCCCCCTTTTCACATGACAAACAGTCTTTTCAACACATTTCTCGTGCAATCCATTAGGACTCATAAATTGTATCGTGAACCAGTCTCTATAAACACACCAAACTTTAGGTCAGTACATGCTAAACTGACTGACTTATAGCCATTTTTGTTTTTTTTTGTTTTTTTACAGTTAGTAAGTTGGCCTGAAAGCAGTTGCAGATGTAGATTTAGTGATTCTTTTCTGCAAGTTTCATGTACGTTCATTCTGGGGTTCAAAAGATATTTTGCTAACACACAGACACAAGCAAAAGCAAGTTGTGTTTGTTATATCAAAACCTGCTTCGCTGTACAGCTGTGCTTCTCCCAGCTCTCATTTCTGATGACCTTGAACAGCTTGTGAGTGTGTGTGTTCATTGTGGGAGTACACACCTGTTTACACAGTCATGTTGCGGAGATCCAGAGAACCCATTTCTAATGATCATTTATAGTGAAGACATGTCTTTAAGTTAGTTTAATGTTTATTTGTGTTGCTCCTTGCCTCTCCTCATGTAAACTGTGTCTTATCAGCTGCCTCTGATGCTGCTGTAAGGAAACTATTTTTACTTTTTTTAAAGTTTGCTCAGGTTCTGCTTGCACCGGCCTCCTAGGTGCTCTGCTCTGTTTGTTTTGTCACAACAGCCGAYACGCTCCGAGCTTCGGCTTCACAGGAGGAGAATTTTCAAGTAAAGCAAACGTGTTCGAATTTGMTGTAAAGTGACTTAAATGAGACAGTTTGTGAGCCTGGCCTGATCAGTTTGGGTTTGCAGCTGGAAAGGTCCCAGTTCTGTTACGCAACTTGCTGTTTGATCACAGTGCACTGGACCGTGTCACACACACACACACACACACACACACACACACAC